GAGCACCCTGGAGCAGAGGGACCCCCAGTCCTGCACAGCACCCACTCCAGGACAGCTGCCTTGGACGCAGGCTGCCTGTGCTCCCACTGCGGGGCGGGGCTGGGAGAGCCCCACAGCGACCCCCCAAGCAAGTATGAGGGAGGCAGGGGCTGCACCCGGGGGAGGAGAGGGGTGTGTCCCAATGGCCGGAGCCAGGGGTGCCAGGAGGTGAGAGAGACAGTAACTCGGCTGACCCAGACGCACCCGGGGAAGCCTCTGGGCTCCGGGCATGCCATGTACTCCTAGCTAGGGCACCCCCCAGCCTGCTGGGGCAGTGCCCCCCTTCTCCTGGCAGCACAGCTTGTCCCCTTCCCAGAACCCCACAGGCCTGCCCCCAACGGCCACCTTTGCCCCATTGCTCTGCCTATGACAGCACCACACCCCCACTCCCCCCACACACCTGCAGCAGGGAGCGAGGCTGACAGATGGGCCCAATGGCCCGGGGCCCTTGACAAGAAAACGGGGCAGGCTGGGGGGGGAGGGGATGGGTGAGCAGCCTGCAGATCCAGGAAGGGCTATCACTCCGAGGAGCTAGGACACGCCAGGGAGGTGCTGACCAGCAGCCAAGGAGATGCAGGGCAGGCATCAGGCTCGAAGGCGAATTATGCTCTGGAGCAGGGAGGCTGGGGACACCCCCCTACTCCCAGACAAAGCCCTGCCAGGGATGCTCCAGGTTTCCGTGGCCCTGCTCAGCGCGGAAGCTGCACTCAATGGCCTTTTGGGGTCCTCTAGGACACCAGCAAGAGAGACACCCACCCTTATGTGCCAGAGCCCGCCATCCCCGCATCGCAAACCCTGGGAACCCACTCCCCCGGCTCAGCCCCAGCCCACAGCACTGGGGTTCCTGTGTCCTGAGAGATGCCTCCCCCAGCCCAGCCCCCCAGTGGCTGGAATCCCCACACCTCAATATTTGTGTCTAGCATGGGCTGCCCCCCTCGGCTGGCTGGGGCTCGGCCTTTAGTCCCCAGGGGCTCCCATTACACTCTCCAGTTCATCCAGCTCCATCTGGTGCCTGCTCGGGGCCTGGGGGGGGGTGTCTGCTCCCTGCACTGGGATCGAGCCCCCCACAGTCCGGCCGCTCGCAGGGTTCAGCTGCGTTTATCCTCTGCCTGGCCCTGACCACTGCCCCCGGGAGCATACACCTGCCTTGGCCAGAGACGGAGCCCCCAGGCAGCCGCACCCCGCTCCCCACGTGGCAGAGCCGGGTCCGACCCAGCCGCTGCGTGACGCACAGCTCTTCCCCACTGCTCTGCACCAGGGACCCCAGAAACGCTGCAAAAGGAGGAGCCCCCAGGAGCCAACTCCACCCCCCACGATGGGTTCAACCCCCAGCAGAGGCAACAGGGTGGGAACCTGTGTCCGCGAGGACCGGGCTGGCATGATGGTCGGGGCGGGGGGGCAGGGGTGCGCATCCCCCCTCCCCCGCAAGGCCTTCCCTCCACACTCGGGAGTGGCCCCACAGCTTCCAGGCTCGTTCTGCACCTGCAGTCACAGCCTGCCCAGCACTGCGCCAGCCACACACAGGCCTCTGCCCGGGGAGGGTGGGGGACAGACAAGCCAAACCCTGTCGCGGGGTCCCCAGCGTTGTTTGCTAAGGCTCTGAGGCGGCTGGGGGGAAGTGCAGTGAGGAGTCAGCCCCTCTCCCTTGGGGGCTCTGAGGGGTGGGCCCTTGAGGTGGGCAGCCCCAGCAGAGGGACCAGGCAGAGCAGAGCCCACCCTGCCCAGGAGCCGAGAGCAGCTGGATTCTGGCTTGGCCACTCCTGGACCTGGATCCAGCGGGTGAGCAGAGGAGAGGGCTGCAGGCGCCCAGCGGGGTATGAGCAATTGGTCCCGCTGAGAGCGGGCGTGGTCAGGACCCGAAGGGAGCAGCTGATGCCCCGGGGGCCTGAGATGCTGCTGAGGATGGGGGCGGGGCAGGGCAGGGCATTGGATGCTGAAGCTGATAACCCCCTCGTGCCCCTGTGGAGGGAGACACTCCAGCCTGGGGGGCAGGGGGAGGAGCAGAGGGAGTAAACCCCCCCCCCCCCAAGGACACAAACACAGCTGCTGGTGATCTGAAAAGCCAGGAGCCTCGGGATGGGATGAGTGCTGCATTCGGGGAGTCACACCCCACAGCTCACCCCCTCGGCAACCCGGGATGCAGGAGCCGCGGCAGCCCTGGTGCGCCAGGACCAGGGGGCTGGAAGGATAGCAGGGCACCAGCTGCGGCTGGCACGCTCCCCTGGAAGGAGGGGCTTGCAGGCCCCCAAGGAGCTGATCCCACCGGGGGTGCCAGGGTTTGTGCACTGCAGCCCAGGCAGCCAAACGCCCCCCATTATTTCTCTCTAATCCTGATGCTTTGCCGCACAGTGGTAACCAAGCCCAACCGGCTGCACTGCCTGGCCATAAATATCAGTGCTTCAACACGCCCAGGGATGGGCCTGCCGCAGCCACCCCAGCCTGGGAGCTGGCTCCTGTCGTGCCCCACGCTGGGTCCTATGGGGTGCAGGTGTTGAGAGAGAGGGGCTGACCAGCTTGCTTTGGGGTTCCTTCTTCCCCCTCCCCCGGGGCTCGGAGGGGCGGAAGGACCAGCGCTCTCTCTCCTGGCAGGCATGTCATCACTGAGGTGGACTGCCCAGATCCCTCCAGCCCGGGCAGCTGAGAGACAGGGAGAAACCTACGGGCACAGCCCCACCGAGGATGCCCCAGGCTGAGCCTGTCACAGCAAGGGAACTTCCAGGGACACCGGACGGGCAGAGCTGGGAAATCTGGTGCTGGGCGCCCTGGCATTAGCCCCGGGGCTGGCTCACGGGGGCCTGGCTAAGGGAGGGGCTAGCGGGAAGGTCCCTGTGAAAGGCGCCCGTGCCGGTGTGAGCCAGCCACTTCGCCATTGTGCTGCTCCTCAGCTCTGCACGTCTCACACACACACGCAATTTATGGGGCCTGCGCTTCCGCCTCACGACACAATCTGAATGGGAAGGGAAGGCGCTACCCAGGGAACGCTCCCTCCTCGGACAAAGAGACACAGAGAGCGGGGGAGTGCCAGACAGACGGGGGGGCACCCCCAGAACCGGCACAGCAGAGAGACGTTCCGGCTGGACCCGGATCCCTCTCCCGTTCATTGTCGATTCCCCCTGCAAAGGGAACCAGGATGGCGGAGGGTGCGTTTCGCTAGGAGCCAGTGTCCCCTCCTGCCCCCCCCGTGCAGAGCAAGGTGGCTGGGTCTGTGCACCTCCAGCCCCTTCCCTGGCCAGGCTGGTGGGACACCCCCAAACGCCCAGCCAGCCTGTGCCCATTTCACATCTCCATCAAAGCCCCCGCTGCACTGCCCATCACTGCACCACTGGGCCTGGATTAGCCACTGGCTCTACCATGGGAGTGCTGGACCCGGGCTTTCCCTGTTGCAACCTGCCAGCTGCCCACCAGCCCCGAGCGACAGGGCGTGAACCATACGGCGGGGGGGGGGTTTGCTTCGCTCCTGGCCATCGATCAGCTGGGCTCCCTGAAGCTCCGAACACACCAACAATCGTCAGATCTTCACTTACAAACCCTATTGACTGTTCTGAAGCGCTGGCTTCGTGACCTCTCCAGCCGCCCGGGCCGCCTGCACCCCGCCCCACGGAGCCACGTCTGGGGGACAGGGCAGCTGGGCCCCAGGAGTCGAGCCTAAAGGTCACCTGTGCAGGGCAGAGGGAAGCAGCCAGCCTCAGCACAGCCCAGAGCAGCTGAGAGTGGGGGCGGCCCCCAGACCCCATTCCAGCAGCTGGTGTCTGCGGACAGCTCGCTTCCAGGGTCTCGCCCTAGTGGTGTTGCCTACGCTGCCCGGGGGCCACGCCAGCAGCCCTGTGGAGGCCAGGACCCCTCCAGTGCCCTGCCCGGCCTGCAGGGCAAACAGGCCAGTGGGCACCCCGGCCCCTTCCCAGGCCGCCTGCAGCCAGTGGGTGTCGCCCCCCGCGCCCGCCCCAGACAGTCAGGGAGCGAGACGCCTTCTGTCTGTGCGCACAGGGGGCAGGCGGCCGGCCACGGGTGCAGAGACTCCCCCAGGCAGGCGTGGGCTGGCGCGTGGCTTTGACTCACCTGCGGGATCCACGCAGCCCAGCCTCGCGGGGCATGTTCAGACAGGGCCATCCATGCTAGGCAGGGCTCAGTGACAGCCCAGCGGAGGGGACCCCCGGCCCTGGGCTCTATCCCAGCCAGGGGAACGGCTCAGGACAGGTCCACCCAGCACGGCCAGAGCCAGGGGGCAGCGAGTCCAGCCCCAGCTCACCCCTGGGAAGCGAGGCCGTTTAGTGACACCCCGCGCTCCCCAGACACCGCGGATGCTCCGGGCCCTCTGGCACCAGCTCCCCAGACACCTTCCGTTTGCAATAAACACCCCCCCCCGCCCCCGCCCCCGCGCACCGCGGAGAACAGGCGGCGACTAAACCCACGGGCGCCGCCGGGGCCCCTCCTCCCGCCCGCGGGGGGCGCCCCAGACCAGCCCCCCACGCCCCCTGCCCGGACACTTCAGCCCTGCAATGGGCAGAACGTCGAGGCCCGGGTGGGGGACACAAGCCCATAGCCTCGGGGGAGGGGGGGGCGCGCCACGCACCGTGCCCGGGCGCTGCGGGGCCGCCTCCTGCCTCTCCGCGCACGGCCCCCGGCCCCTCGCACCCCCACCACCCCGGGCTCCGGCCCCTTCATAGGAGGGAGGGAGGGGGGCAGTATTAAGAGCAACGGGGGGGAGGGGAGGCAGGGCAGGGGCCAGCCAGGGACAGGGGGCGACTCCGGACACCCCGAGGCTTCCCCCCAGCCCGACGGCTCCCCCCATCCTGCTACCAGCTCCACCGGAGGGGGGGTCCTGGAGCCCCCCGGCGTGCCCAACAGCCACTCCCCAAATACACGCGCCCCCAAGAGCCGCCACCCCCCAGCGCACGGACCCCAGCAACGCCCTCGGAGCAGGACCCTTCCAGCGCGGTCCCCGCAGCCGCCCCGGGACTCACTGCGGGTTGGAGCCATTCCAGTACACGGCGTGCCGGTTGCAGACGGTCCCCGCCGGCCCCTGGCTGAGGAGGAGCAGCGGGAGCAGAGACAGGAGCGCGGCCAGGCGAGCAGCCATCCTGCCCCTGCAGCGGCGCTCGACCCCCGCCTGCTCCGCGGAGCCCAGCGCGACCCAATGCACGGAACCGAGCCCGAGCCGCCAGCTCGCGAGCCCCGCGCCGAGCTCCGCCCCTTCCCTGCGCGCTCCCGGGCCCGCCCCTTCCCTGCGCGCTCCCGTGGCGCGTTCACGGGCGGGGGCCCCCGCGCGCGCTGCCCCCTCCCCCCTAGAGCGGGGCGCCTTCTTCACACAGTTCTGCCTTCTCCCCCGCCATGGGGCGCCCCTTGGCACGGAGCCTGAGGGCCTGGCTCAGCGCCCCGGCGGTGCCAGGGGGCCATGACCTGAGCCGGGCTGCCTGTGGGGCCAGCTGCTGGGCATGCTGACAGCACCCTCCTGGCCCCCCACCTCAGGGTCCCTCTGAGCCCCCTGCTCTGGGCCGTGGCCTGCAGCAGCTGATGGCCTGAGCTGTGCCTTGGGTGAACCATGGCCCCGCCCACTGCCTCAGTTTCCCCATCTGTAAAACAGGGATGGTCCCTGGGCCGCAGCAGGTCACCAGGATGCTCTGGGTTCTAGTCTTCTTCACTGCTTTCCCCACATCCCACTGCAGCTCCCACAGGTGCTTTCCCTTGCGGGACAGGAGAGAGAGAGAGAGAGGCATTTGTTTGTCTTCACACATTTCCCTCCTGGCCAGGTTTGTGCCCGATTCCATAACGGCTTCGTTTGCAACACTTTATTCTTAATCATCTGTCATGCAGCGGCTCCAAGGCTCTCCATCGTGCTGGCTGCTGCAGGCAGAGGGGAGCCAGCCACTGCCCCTAAGAGCTCACCCTCTACCCGAACAGACAGACGGCTGAGGGGCGGCCCAGAGCGGGAGGTGATTTCCCCAGGCATCCAGCAGGGCAGTGGCAGAATTAGAACCCAGGTGTCCTGAGTCCCAGACCAGTTCCCTGCCCACTGGCTCAGGCTGCCTCTTTCCCCCAATCCCTTGTCCCAGGCTCCATCACAGGCTGCAAATCCCGGCTTCAAAAACTAATATCAAGGTAATAAACTCCTTTGCTGCTGAAGGATCTAAGCCCTGCGTGGCCGTGGGCAGCTCCGGAGCCAGCCAGCGAGCCCCAGGAGCGGTGGCTCCCTGGAACACCAGGCACTGGGACTGGGAGAAGTAAACTTCAGCACTTTACTCCTCCGGGTGCCTGGCTCTCCCGCCCCTCCTTTGCTGCCCATCGCGCCTGGTTACGACACCTCCTTACAACAGGAAGGCTTCCTGGCCCCGGGCCAGTGCTGGATTGGCAACTGACAGGCCATAGCCCTGGGGAGTGGCTGGCAGCTGAGAAGGCCAATGCGATTTCCCAGCCCCCCACAGTGCATTGTGCCCATTCCAAGGGGAGGCTGCCCCACAGTGCTCCCTGGTCTGGGCTGCCCAGCCTGGGACACTGCAAAGGGGCCTGGTTCTGTGCCGTGCTGGGCAGTCGAGTCCATTCAGAGTCCGGGGCGCCGCAGGGGCTCAGAGCCCTGGAAACCAGGCTGAGCAGATGCTGCATCCCCCTCCCCCAGTCTAATGGGGCTGCAGGCAAGCGAGGGAGTGGGGTGGCTGCCCCATGGGGCCGGTTCCTTGACTCCCCAGTGTTGGGCTCTTCCTTCCGAATGCACCTGCTGGGCCTCTCGGACCCAGTTCCCAGCTCCGCTGCCCTCCGAGTCCCTGCCTTTCTCCTAGCCCCAGTTCCCCACTCTGTGCCACGGGTGCCCGGCAGGCTCTGTCAGTCATGCCGCACTGGGAGAGACGTACCCTCCTGCTGGTGCCATGGCCGGCCGTTCAGAGCCAGGGCCACCTCTTCCTCCAGCAGCTGAGAGCCACAAGCCCAGCTCTGTCCCCAGCCCACGAGCGGAGAAGGACACACCACCTCCTCCTCCTCCTGCCCCGGGCTTAATCCTCCTCTGGCCACCAGGTCAACCCGGTTCCTGCCCCCGCGGGCTGGGGCCTGCGGACCCCGCTCCGTCCCGGGTGCCCCTGCCCCGGGCTTAATCCTCCTCCGGCCACCAGGTCAACCCGGTTCCTGCCCCCTCTATTAATTATTCATCTGAAGAAGTGAAGTGAAGAAAATACACCACGTGCAAAGAGGCTCCCAATGGCCGTGGGGGGAGGGGGTGGGAGGGAAGGCAAAGGGATGGGAGTGGGGAGCATGGGGCAGAGAGAGGAGGGAAGGGGTGAGGGTGTCTGGGCTGCCCCAGCTGGGCCAAGCCCCCAGGGGTGCTGAGCCATTCCTGCTCCCAGCCCAGGAGCGCCACCTCCCATGACTCTTCCTGTTCTCTGCAGTCGCTGATCCACACTGTGAAACAGGGCCTGGGTCAGGGGAGGAGCAGCTGCATGGCCCCCTGTAGGGGGCTCTGGCTCCCATCTGGCCCCAGGGCAGGGGGACTGGCTGGCTCAGTGGGGCTGGGATGGGACAGGGCACCTTTCCCATGAGGAGTGGGGACCTGGCTCCAGTCTGCCCGCAGGGTGGGGATGCTGGGGGAGGGGGATGCAGGAGGCCGGGCAGGTGTTTCGTTGAGAGCGGTGTGACGGTAGGAAGCTTCCGATGCCACCTCTCTCCACAGGGTACCAGGCAGGACGGGGTGGAGGGGCCCTCCCCCTGCATGCGCACTGGGAATTGGAATGCTGAGAGTACGTCTACACTGCAATGTAAGCCCCAGGGTCGCACTCAGGCTCAAGCCTAGCCCCTTCCGTCTACACACAAATCGTGCTAACACAGGGTTAAACACAGGGTCCCAGGGCCCGGGGGGTGGAAGGTCTGAGCCTGAGTCAAGCTGGAACCCAGGGTTCAAGCCCTCTTGCTTTGCTGTGAAGATGCAGCCCCACTGGACTCCTGCTCCGAGAGTCCAACAAAAGTATCCCAAAATGCCACAGGCAAACTTTCTTTGTCCTCTGGACAGTCAAGTTTTCTCACAAAGGGCTGGAGCAACCACATTTTGGGAGGGTGCTAGGAAGTCGGGGCTGTGGGGGGCTGGACTCAGGCCCATGTTATCACAGTGCAGATGCTGGGGCCCCAGGACTGAACAACTCCTGACCTGGGTTATGAATGCGTGTAGATGCGGCGGGAGGGTCCCAGAACTGCTGCCCGAGCCCGAAGATCGATGCCACAATTGCACAGACCTTTAGCCTGTGCCCCGTGAGCCCAAGGCAGCGGGCCAGGACATGCATTGGAGACATCCCCTTAGTTAACAAACCCAGGGGCTGCTAACTTGAGTTCTACTAACCCCGGGCTTACGCTGCATGGCAGCCGTACCCGGAAACGCTTTGGCTGACAGCAGGACCGGGGCTGGCTCCAGGAACTCTCCACCCAGGGGTCTCTGCAGCAGAGTTATTGGGGCTTGGAACCACCACCCGGGGGCCTTGGCCACCCAGCCACAAAGCAGGCTCTGGGAGCTGTGACGTTTACTCCAGGATAGATGGAAACTCAGCAGCATGCAACCCCAACAAGGCAACTCACGTGCTTAAGAAACATGCTTAAGAACATAATGGCCACACTGGGTCAGAGCCACGGTCCAGCTAGCCCAGTGCCCTGCGTCCGGCAGCGGCCGGTGCCAGAGGCTGCAGAGGGAATGAACCGAACAGGGTTGTTATTGCGTGATCCATCCCATCGTCCAGTCCCAGCCTCTGGCAGTCAGGGGCTGGGAACTGTTGTGTGCAGTGTTTCCATGTAGAAACACCCCACACGTATGGCGACGCACATGCCTCCCCAAGGAAACGCCACAAACACTGAGCAACACGACTCCCCATGGAACCCCCTGCATGGCAACACACAGGGAAACGCCCCCACACAGCACTGCACATGCCTCTGCACAGAGACACACAAACACGCCTGTCTGTACAGAAATCGCTCGCTCTCCCGGCTCACACACACTCAGACGCGCTCACACCTACACAGAGAGAGAGCCAGCAAAAGCACACCTACACCGGAAACACACACACACACACACACACACACAAACTTGCACCCTCCACCCAGAGCAACACACAAGCCAACCACACACCACAACACGCGCACCCCTAGGCCTGGCCAACCACAAACACGTCCACTGGCAACAGGGCCAGCCCTGCCCCCTGCCCGCTGCCCAGCACACCCCCTGGCAGGCTGCAGGAGGCGGCTGGGCACTGCCTGGGTGGGTCCCTGCAGGTCGGGGCGGAGCGGCTGGCACCTAGTGGGGAGGGAGCCCGGGTGCCCATGTGTCTGGCCTCAGCGTGAGGGGGAGGCTGTTTCTCACTCAGCGCTGAGTCACTTCCCCACGTCTGTGGCAGGCGGCTCCCGTTCCCACGTGCAGGGAGGGTTTCCAGGCGCTGTCCCTGGCTCCCTCTCCTGCGGGAGAGCTCCCAGCGCCAGCCTCTGGCGTGCCCCTCGCTGGCCATGCCCTCGGGCCCTGCAGCCCCTGGTTTGTCCAGCCCTGGGGAGGAGCTGGGGCAGAGGGAAGGGGCTGCTGCCAGGGCCCCGTGGGGTTGCGGGTTTCTCCATATGAGCCACGGGACTTCCCCATCCCCACTGGATGGTGACCTTGGATACCCCTCCTGCCCGCCCTCTGGGGTCCCCCCTGCTTGGAATGCGGCTCTCTCTTCTCCCCCTCTGCCTCCTTTCCTCCCAGCCTCCCCTATCTCCCCCCCCCCGCTCCCCACACTGCCAGTCAGTGATGTCAGAAAACCTCTCCCCACTCCTCATCACTGGGCCCACCCCGCACACGGCAGGGCACACGGGACTCGGGGTGGGGTGGGGTGGGGCTGGGCGAGACCCTGTGCTGGGGCTGCTGCATCCTGGGGCTTCCCCTCCCACCTGCGGCCCGGAGCCAAGATCCTGCCACCCACCCCAGGAGGCCGCATCTCCCAGGGCAGCCATAGAAAGGCACAGAGCCCTGGGCCAGGGTCCTTAGAGTGCTCCTCCCAGCCCCTCATTAGAGGCTGTTTCTCTGTGGCATTCGCTCCCAAATTGGCCCCGTGGGGAGCTGGGTTGCCGGGCGACCCAACAAGCTGTGTGGCTTCTTGGCTTGCCGGAGCCCATCGCATGGCCACAGGGCCCTGCCCTGCCCCCCCACCCCTGTGCCGCACTCGGCCCCGCTCCTGCCTGCGCCAGGCCTGGCTCGCACCGTCGTCCGTGTCAGGCAAG